CAGAGCAGTGTGGGGCCACATAAATGGGGTGCAGCCCCCCAAACCTCCACTTTAGGGCTGCATTACCACCCTGGGAGGGCCGAGCTCCAGGACAGGTTTGGAAGGATTAAAGCTGCTGTGCCTGCCCTAATTCCGGACCGTGGAGGGGTGGCTTTGCTGCCAGCTGTGGCACAGAGCCCAAATGCCAGCACTGATTGAAGCTTCCAGGCTGCAACCAAAATAATTACAATATGGATAATTACAGCCACATAATTTCATTAAAATTGGTCCTTCATTAAGTGCATATATTTGTGATATTGCCTAGGCAGTACAGATGGGTGTATTTCCTGTCTTGAAATAATTAGAGGCTCTCCGCCTAAACTCCACCTCCCAAGGAAATTATTTCTTATAGTTCAACTATTCTGTTTACTTAAGTGTATTTTCTCTCTTTTTGTGCTGGGACACCCCCAAGTTCCACGTTAACAGATGTGAAAATGAATTTACTGTCTGAGAACTCCTTGTGACCTGGGATGTAGATGTTGTGTCTTACAGAAGCATTTGGGTCCCCTTGAGCTGTTCCCTTTTAGGCCTTGGTGACGTTTGAAGCTCTCTGGGTTAAGGCCACGGGTGGACACCTGATTCTGGAACAAGGAACTTCCTTCCCACAGACCTAATCCCTTGTTGGAATGGAAACCAGGTGCTTTAATTCTGGAGTGGGAGCGTCAGCGTGTGGGATCCATCAGGAATAGATCCATGGATGGAGGAGGTCTCAATGGGATACTGGGAAGGAATTCTCAACTGTGAGGGTGGGGAAGGCCCTGGCACAGGTTGCCCAGAGAAACTGTGGCTGCCCCATCCCTGGAAGTGTCCAAAGCCAGGTTGGATGGGGTTTGGAGCAACCTGGGATAGTGGAAGATGTCCCTGCCCATGGCAGGGGGTGGGACTGGGTGGTCTTTAAGGTCCCTTCCAACCCAAACCATCCTGGGATTCTAAAGGCTGTGGAGGCCTGGAGCTCACTGTTTTCTCCTACACTCAAGGCCCTCAACCAGAAACTTTGTTTTCCCTCAGTCAAGGGTCTTGATCTACAGGGAAAATCAGGCCTGAGCAGTGCCCCAGGAGCCAGCAATCCTGGGGACAGGCTCTCCTCAGCCCACACACGCTGCCTCCCCGAGCCACCTCCACCAGCACAGCTCCACCACGGAAAACCCTTTCAGAGAGTCGGGATGAGGAAGAGATGTTTTTGGAGCATCATCCAGAGATCCACCCACTCCAGTGGTGATCTGTGACTTGTGTGAAGCTCTGAGGAGGGCAGAGAGCCCTCCCAGGCCCAGGAGAGCAGCTCTCAGTGCAGCACAGATGTAGCTGATAAGCACAAAGGCTTTCCTGTCTGGGGTGGGTGGGAAGGGGCCGTTACAGCTCCGCTCCCACCACGGAAGCGCCGGCGCTGCTCGGGTGAGAGGCTGAGCCTCCCCCGGCTTTGGGGTTTTTTTGTCACAGTGTGAGGAGGCAAAGCTCTAACTGCTTCAGCTTCAGCCAGGGTGACAAGGCTTCTACAGCCCCCTGAGCTCAAGGAGCCTTTGGACAACACTTTCAGGGACAGGGTGGAAGTCTTGGTGTGTCCTGTGCGGGGTCAGGAGTGGGACTTGATGATCCTGATGGGTCCCTTTCAATTGAATATATTCTGTGATTCTGATTTTTAAAAACTTAAGAATTAATCAGTGAACAGGGCTGAGGACATGAGGGTGACAAAAGCTACGATCACCAAGTGCAGAGAAACCAAAGCAGGGAATTAATTATTTATTGCCAAGTTACCACTGGGATCATCACCCCCCAGAACCAAATCACCTTCCACTTCCCTTCCCTCCCAGGGGATTTTTGGTCATCAAGGGAAGCTGCAGGTTTCCCTCACTACAGGGAGGAGCAGTGACATGACTGCACTTCATTACTATTGTTTGGTTCTTGATGCTTTAAGTAACTGGCTTTTTTTTTTCCAGACTAGATCTCCTGGCCACTGCTGTAGATCCTGTAGGTCACATTCACAGAGCTCAGTTTATCACCCCAGAGACTGGAGCTGCTGTGCCCTGACTTAACCAAACACTGCTTTAACAGGTCCAGCTTATTTTTTCACAGGTTTTTATCAAACCATCTCTGACAAGATTTTATCTCTTTGGTTTTGTGCTGGACAGGGTGGACTCGTGTGTGGGTCACTGGCTGTGGGTTGGTTTAGTTGTTGAGGTGTGAGTGCCTTTGTGCCCAACAAGCTGCGACAGTGCTCGTTTTTGGGCTCTAACAGCAAAAAAGGAAGTGAACTGTGCAGTTAAATGTGTCAAAATTTGCTGCTGCTGCAGCTTAACCCAGGCAGGAAAATCTAACAGTTACAGAGACACGAGGAGGCTGCCCAGGATGTTGAGCAACCAGCTGACAAAATAGCAAATAAAACCTAGTGCTGATAAAAAAGACATGTAAGGGGGGGAAAATTCTGCTTAGGTAAGAGGAGCTGTAAGTCAGCTCTTTTCGTGCTGAAAGGAGATATTTTGGGTTCGTGAGCAGTGGCTGGTGATGGCAGAGGAGATGAAGAGGGCACTGGAAATGCTGGAGGAGCTGTGCCATGGCCATTGGCATGTGGCCCTGCTCCCACCTCCAAGGATAGGAGGTGGCTGGAGGTCCTGAGTGTGGTGAGACCTCACTTCCACCACAGCACGAGTCGTGCAGAGGAGCTGAAAAGGGAACCAGTTGCTCCTGGTACAAGAGGGAGGGACAGCAAAGGTGCCAGAAACACACCCAGAGCTGCTCCCCCCCAGCCCCCTGTCAGCCTCACTCGCCTTGTCTCCTGTGTAAATAAGACTTATCAAACCCCTCGATGCTCTTTCTAAACAGCTTAAGCTGCCAAAGCATCCCCAAGACCTTCCCTGGCTCTGTGCTGCTGCCCTGATGGCTTTTCTTTTGGCCCAGCCCAAATTAAACCTAATTCTGTGTCCAAAAGCCACTTGTCACTGCAGCACAGAGTGAGCCTGGTGAGATCATTGGCAGAGACCTCAGTGCTTTGCTCCTCAGCGATAACAACCCTCTGGGGGCAGAGCTGCAAGCAGAGGAAATACTTCATGCAGAGTCAAGGGGATGTTTTGGGGTATTTTTTTATGTTCTCAGTTATGTTCTCATTTGGATTCCCAGTCCTGTGCTGAGAAGAGATTATTCAGATTATATTACTCAAAAATCTTTCCAGAGAAAAGATTTTCATGGGAATCTCAGCTTCTGCTGGCTCTGAACAGGCTGATGGAGAACAAAGTCCAGGTGAAGAGTGGGATGTTGCCAAGCACAGAGCTCAGAGCTGGGCAGAACAGCCACCAAACAGCACTTGTTTCTGCTGCAGCAGTGCTTGGGCATTGCTTGGCTCCTCCAAACCTCCTCTGTGCCACGTGCCATCCCCACGTGAGGCTTTCCTGGGTGGCAGAAAGGCAGCAGAGAACTTCCCTGCTGGTGTGTGATTGCTCTGGGGCATGAAAATACACCTCCTGTTGATTTAAGTGCTGCCTCGATTCTCCAAATGTCCATGGCAGCATCTCCAGGGGCTTGTGAAACCTCAGTGATGGAGAGTGTGGCCAAACAGATCCCCCCTGGAGCAGAGGTGCCATAGGGAAGGGCAGGCAGGTCCCTCCTGAATTCATCCCCACCCCACTTCCTGTAAGAAAGAGGTGTTTAATTCTGATCTGAATAACCCCCATTGCTGTGGCAGTGGGTGCACCCATGGGATTTTCTGGGGGGAAACATCAGCTTGTTGAGGTTTCTCTCACTGACCAATTTCTGAACTTCTGACTCCACTTTATGTAACATCTTTTTCCCCTCGGGAGCTAAAAGTAGCTCGGGGGGGTTGGACAGGGCTCTCCTGCCCCCCTCCCAGGGGGACCAGAAAGGACAGTGATGGGCTTGATTCCTGCAGCTTTAGGAATTCCCGTTGTCCTGGTAAACCCACTCCTTTGCTTTTCTCCCCAGTGCACAAGAGAGAAGTTAAAATAATTTTGCCTCTGAAATGTTCTGCAGGTGCTCAAGAGGCATCAGCAACCCGGGGGCTGCCACGTGTTGGTCTCTGTAAGCGTGTGTTGGTCATGCAAAGGGAAAAGTGGGCCAAGAGCCACATTTAAAAAGCATTTTTAAAAAGGATCTTTTTTATTATATGCAAGAGGAAAATACAAAAATAAATATTTTTTTTTCACTATTGTTAACGTATTACAATGTACTCTGTGGTTTCCTTGATTTATCAGTGCTTTCTCAGCCTTCACTCAGGTATAGAACTGGCTCAGATTCCTGTAGGAATGAGGTGGTGGAGTTTTGTTTTATTATCTAGAAGAGTTTTTGAAAAGAAAAAAAGAAAATATGTGTTCCGACACTCTCTGGGCTCCACATGATTTTCCTACAATATTTATGTTTTTCCTATAAATTATAAAACAACATTGGCATAAATAAAAACTCAGACTGTCACAGCATTTTACGTTTTAAACTGTAACATTTCAAATGTTCACAGAAAAATATGTTTTAAAGAAGGAACAAATGAAATCCCAAAGTCCCAAAGCTTCTGTGGCTTGATTTTGAAGAGGTTATTATTAAAAATACATCCACATTTGAGCCTTTCTTAGAAATCACTTATAGCCTCTTGGGTGGCACCTTTGACTGCTTCACAGGGAGTTCCAAAGCAAACTCTGGAAAGGTTTGGATCCTCTGACCGTGTTTTAATCCTGCTAATGAAGAGTGGATGTGATCTGTGGGTCAGTTATCAGTGAAAGGGAAATAATTTGCCCCGTTTTTGGTGAAAAGAGGGCCTGAAAGCCTGAATAAACCCCCTCCAAACACAGCCCCCTACACAACATGGCTCCAAACCATGTGACTTTCCAGCCAGAAATGGGAACTGATGGCACAAAAATAGTGTCTGGAAGCTCCAGTGACTGTGTGATTTGGGGGTCTGTCATTTGCTACAACCCCAAAAGTGAGGTTTCTTTAATTATTTAAATGGCAAGTCCTTTGGGGCCACTTTTTGTTCCTCACTTCATGGTCAATGTGGCTGGAGGCTCCTGGCACAGGTTAGTCCCTGCTGGATTGTCTTGTGCTTCAGAAATATATAATATTGTGTCATCCTGTAATTTTTTTGGCTCAAATTCATTTTGCATAGCAGGAGCCCAAAATCTTTGCTGCCTCTTGCTGAAGTGCATGACCAGGATGTGGCCGGGAAGTGCCACAGGTGACAACAGGGCACAGCATCACTTCTGCCACGGGTCCTTGTCCTCACCTGCTCCAGCCTGCCCAGCTTAGGAATGGAAATGCTGTTATTTATATTCAGAGAAAAACTGCAACTAAAGTATTAAATCAACACATCTTTGGTCAGGTTTGGGCTTTGGGGGGGTGGGGGGTTTGTTTGTTTACTCCAACCCTCACTGAAAGCAGAAGTTTGCCTGAGTCGTGGGGAGAACAGTGGGCCAAAGCCCAGCATCTAGTGAGTCTCTATTCCGTGGTGTCCTCCATGAGCACGTCCCTGGAGTGTTTCCTGGTGTAGCTGAGGTGGTGGAGCTGGATGCTGTCGTGCAGATCCTGCCTGGAGAGGCGTCTCCTGAACTCGTCTGTGGTAAAGTAGTAGATGACGGGGTCGACGCAGGAGTTGAGGCTGGCGAGGCACAGAGCCACGGCGTGGAACACCGAGATCACCTTCTGCACACACCCCCCCTTGATCTGCTTGGTCTTCACAAAGAAGTCCAGGGGGAAGCCGATGTGATAAGGTGCAAAGCAAATCAGGAACACCAGGGCACAGGTGAGAATCATCTTCAAAGCCTTTTTCTTCTCCCCCAGGTCGTGCAAAGCAGAGTTTTTCTCTTTCAGTGACAGGATGGTCTTCCACGAGCAGTACAGGATGATGAGCAGGGGTGTCACGAACCCCACCAGCTCCCCTATTGTCATCAGCGTAATGGAGGTGGGAAGGTCGAGCTCCTTGATGGGCAGATCCACAAAGCAGGTGTTTTTGTTATCCTTGTGGAGCCTGAGGAGCGGGAAGGGCAGACAGGCCACGCAGACCACGACCCAGCCCACGACGCTGACATAGATGTCACAGACACGCTTGCAGTCGCTGAACCTGAAGGGGTGCATGAGGAACAGGTACCTCCTCACGCTGATGCACACCAGGAAGAAGATGCTGGCGTACATATTGACGTACTTCAGGTAGAAGCAGAGCAGGCAGAGCCCTCCCCCGAATTCCCACGTGCCCGTCAGGTAATAGAAAATCCTCAGGGGCAAGGACAGAACCTGCAGTAAATCGGCGATGGCCAAATTGATCATAAATATCACGGCCCTTTTAGTCTCCTTCATGTACCCGTAGAAGACCCACAGGGCCAGCGTGTTTGCTATGAGGCCGGGGATGAGGATCACCGTGTAGGTGACGGCGTAGTAGCGCTTCAGGTCTGTCTCCGTGCAGTTGGAGCTGTTGGTCATGGTTGTGCTCGGGGTCCGTGCTCAGCCCCGGCATCATAACATGTCCCTCAGCGTGTCCTGCAGCCACCTTGTCCTCAGCTGCTTCGGTGAAGTGTTTCAGCCCTGGAATCCCTGTGTGAGGGTTCGGTTCCTGGCTGCTCTGGGGAGGAGCTTCGTCGCTTTGGGGTGAGGGAGTTAATCCAAGCCCTGCTCACGTGCCGTGCTCATGCTCCCTGTCAGATGGTACCAGCCCGTGCTGTGCTGTCCTGCAGGATGGGCAGGGAGGGGATCCACGCCAGGAAGGGCATCGCCGTGTGCCCAGGTGGGCAGGGCCTCACGGAGCTGTGCCTCTGTCACCTTTTGGGTGGCATTTCAGCCACTTCTCTCAATGCAGGAATTCAACAACTGACGTGGCCCCTCAGCTGGAAGACAGAAAGATGCAGTTAGAGCATTGTGGGGAAGCACGGGTCAAACAGAGCTGGAAAGAGCCATGGGAACCTCTGTCCAGCAGAAACCTTTGTGGCTTTGGAAGTAGTCAGCTCTCCTCCTGCCTAGCAAGAACCATGCCTTGTCCAGTGGAGGTGTGAAACCACTGAGGAGTAAATGGAAAATGTGTTTAATTGCTGCTACAAACCAGTTCTGTTGGTCTCCCTGTGTCCAGGCACGTGGCTGAGATGCTCCGGCGAGCGCGGTGCCTGCCTCCCCCCAGGCTGGCCGGGACACTCTCACCTCACACTCCCCTGTTCTGCCCAGGAAAGCCCTTCTGAAGGTTCAGAGGTGGCAGAGGGAGATCTGCTCCTTGTGTAACACGTGATGGGACACAAACATTTCCCACCGGAGCAGCCGCCACGTCAGGAGGGGAAGTCACAGCTCGGTGGCTTTCACCAAACCAGGGTCAGCTTTTTCATTTCTGCTCATAAACAGAACGTGAACCATCCCTGCTGCAAGCAGGGACAACTGGCCACTTATTGACCACCTTCTGCTGCACAACAACCTGCAGTAGATTAAATCTGATTTTCTCACAGCTGCTTTTTCCAAACCTTTCCTCGCCCACCCTGGCACTGCTGGAGCTGTTGGAAATACCAGACACCGGCACTGAGGGGATTGTGGGTGGACTTTATTTCAAACTGTTTGCACAGTAAAGAGCTGATGTTATCTGAATGTGTCAGACAGAAAAACCTCAGCCAGCTCTGATAAATCTGGAGGAAATTCAGATTTCTGCCCAAACTCTCTCAGGTTTGCCTCTGGCTTCCACATGAAGAATTAACCTGCAGGTCTAAGTGGGAGAAATTTGGAGGTACCAACCCGGATGTCAAAGGCACAGTTATTTAATTTTAAAGGTTTTAATTTATTTTTTTTTTCATTTGAAAGGTAAATGACACCCTGCTGCAGTCCCTGCTGGTTTTTCCTGTGCTTTGAGGTGCAGGCATTAAAATATGAACACTTATTAACAATGCTGACAATGTTCAACACTTGGTGTGATGGCACCGAAACTTTGAAGTAGCTTTGAGTGGAAACAGAAAATCTTCTACAAAAGGAAATGGCTGGGGGGAGTGCAGCCTTTCTGTGTCTATTTGTGTAGTTTCTCCTGCCTTTTCATCACCACTGAGTGATGATTCCAAGGAGACTGAGACAATCTTCCTTCCACATAACCAGTGGAGCAAAATGGCTCCAGAAATAATCCCATTAAACTCCAGGAGCAATGATTAATAAACCATAGAGAAACCAGCCTTCAGCTCAAAGACTTTTCAATTCCTTTAGCAATTCTCCCTCCAACTTCCAACGCACAAACCTTTAGGAATGTGAGTAATCTCTTCATCAAGCAGGAAAACTCACTGGTGCTCACCTAAAACCCCTGGGGTTTTATCCATCACTGGTGGGTAACTTGGGCTGAGGGCTTTGATTTCCATTTGATGGGGCTTGAGTGGCACATCCCTGGAAGTGTCCAAGGCCAGGTTGGATGGGGCTTTAAGGAAAGTGTCCATGGCAGGGGTGGAGTGAGATGTCTTTAAGGTCCCTTCCAGCCCCAACCATTCCATGATTCCCTCAGCTCCTTGCCTGATGTTTGCTCTCAAGCACCAGCAGAGGAGCTCAGGTGTCATCTCTCCCTGCCCAGATGGGTGTCCTGCTCCTGCAGCACAGCTGGCACCACTGCACCAGGCTGGGCATCATCCATGGGGCATCCAGGGCAAGACAAAGCCCTAAGCCCACGTCACCCAGCTCTTTCTCACAGTGGTTTATTTAATCTTCATTTTTTTAATTAATTTAAAGCAGCTTGTCTTCCACCTCTTGGCAGGGGCTCCTGTCACCCACTCAGGGAGACTCAATAGTGCTCCTTTTTCCTCTGGCTGCATTCCCACAGGGGTAAACTCACTTTAACTCTGTGTCTGGGCCATGAGACACACAGGGGCAAGGCCAAGGTGCAGCCCCAGCCCATCCGCAGCCACTGCACACACATCTGCACACTCATGTTTTTCCTGCTGTCCCCCAGCTCCTGCACTTCCCATCCCCACTGCACAGCAACTTTCCTGGAACTCCATGCCCTGCTCCCTCCAGCCTGGCCCTGGTCAGGGATGCACTGGGAGCACCTTCTGCCTCTCCCTGTGGCACGAGGGGTCCCAGAAGGCCCAGCTAAAGGCGGGGAGCACCGAGGGTGCTCACCCAGAGCCCCCAGAAACACCCTTGGAGCTCGGGGAGAGGGGTATAAAAACTCAGCAACGTGAGAAACAGTGCTCTGGAAATCCCAAACAGCAACATCACAAAGTTCAGCCCCACGTGCTGTGTAAAAACCAGCAGGAGGCTAAAAAAAGCTCCAGAAAGAGGAAATTTTGTTTCGTGTGCTCCGTGCTTGCTTCCCCCCAGCACAGAGGGGCAGGGGAGAGGCTCTCCCCAGGCACAGTCCCCTTCTTCCCCTGAGTGGCTTTTCCCCCTGATTTTGCCAAGGAGACCCCCCCAGTCAGCCACGTTGGGGCACTGGATGAAGACTTTGTGCTTCATGAGGCAGAGGCAGCAGGTAGAAGTTGCAGCCAGACCCTAAACCAGCCTGTTACAGCTGGCCATGGCCCCTGTGCAGCATTTCCCACGTGCTGAAGGGCAGCCCTGTGTCCATATGCTCCATGTGAGCAGTGCAGGGGCTGGGATGTGGGAGCAGCCACTGAGGGGTCACACCTGTGGGCTCTGCCCCGTGCCCTCCTCACAGCCCATCACCCCCCTCAGAGCCCATCAGGGCTCAGCAGCCACACCTGAGGGTGCTTAAAAATCCTGGGTCAACCCAGGGGCTCGTTAGCAAATCCTGAGGGTTTTACCCCAGGAAAAGCCACAGCAGCCCTTAAACCCAGCTGGGTGGGGGAGAGGCTTTAAATCCAGCTGGGGGAGGGTAGTTCATGGCCAGGTACAGTTTGGGGTGCTGTCCCTATCGTGGTGTTGTGCCTGGAACCCTCTTGGAGCTCAGGTTCCCCCAGGAGCTGGGATGCTGTCCCACACCTCCTGCTCCTTCCCAGAGCCAGGGTGAGGGATCAGCCTGGATGGATCCTGCCCCCAAGCACCGTTCTTGCTGCTGGCACAGGTGAGTTGTGGGTGCCAAGCCACCCTGGGTTCAGTTTGGGGCTGTGTTTGTGCTGTAAGAACATGTAAAGCCTGTGCCAGAGGTGACCTGGGCACAGCAGCAGCACCCTGGTGTCACCAGCTGACTTACCCTTCTGGGGGGAGCTGGGCTGTGCTGCTGCCTCCCACCTCTCTTCTATTTTAACTCCTTATCCTCCACAACCTAAAATAAAAGCAGAACATGCACATGGGTGACCCGAAATGGAAATTTAGTTTCCTGCTGAAGCTGCGCTGGTGGAGGCGGAGTGAGGGTGGTTCTGTCCCTCCGTGTGGGTTCTCTGGGGGTGTGGGGACAGGGCCCAGGGGTGTCCTGTGCTGGGCTTCTCCCAGTGCCCACTTGTTCTTCAGCTCACCTGAAGTGCTGCTGTCCTGTTCTGGCAGAGATAACTATTAGTAACTAGTGGGTATTAATTAATACTAGGTATTAACTGAAAACAGAAGTCACAGAACTAGACACTGATCATTGCACAGGTTTTCTTTTCGATTCTCTTAATTCACATCAGGGGAGGATAAAAGCTTCTCTACCTTGAAGCAGTTTCCTTGTAGATATTTGTGGCTTGTGTCTTCCTCCAGAGGGGCAACATTGTCCTTTGCTGTATTAACTGAATTCCAAGAATATACAGGAAAACATGGTGGGGTTGTTGGGGTGTCCTGTGCAGGGCCAGGAGTTGGACTTGATCCTGATGGGTCCCTTCCAACTCAGCATATTCTATGAAATGCTCTGCTTTAATGCCGTATGAAATACTCTGCTTCGGCCTTTTAATCCTTTGCAAAAGCTCCTGTGCTCCTTTGTCAATATTAATCTTGGTTAAGAAGGGAAAAATAACCCAGAGCAGCCGTGCTGTGTGTTATCCTAATCCCCCAGCTCTCTTCTCCCTCCCTGGCACACCCCAACATTCCTGGGAGATGTTCAGAGCAAGGAGCACCAAAGCTGTGAGTTTTCCACCCAGGCCACCAGGGCACATCCCCCAGGGAGGCACAGCCATGTCCCTGGGCTGTGATAACCCTGCCTCCCCCCTTCCCTGATTCTTGCAATTAAGTGGAAAAAGACCTGTGGAAAATTCGTGTGGTGCCTCCTATGAGGAACAGACTACTTGGGAAAACCCATGGGACAAATAGAGTGAGACAAACCCCAAGAAAACCCAGAGCAGTGAGTGAATTGGGTCAGTTGTGGGGATGGGGCTGTGTGGCCTCAGAGTCCACTCACAGACAAGTCCCACCCCAGGCAGCTGTGGGTTTGCAAAGGCTGAGAATCACTGCATTTGATGTTAATCCTTAAATTCAGCTTCTTGATACTCATATAATGATAGCAGACAATACAGTTTGACCCTTTTAGGTCTGGGTATTTTGGGTCCAGCCATCCCCCTGCTCTCCCTTGGGTACTCAGAGCATCTGTGAGCAGGCACAGGAGCTCGCTCTTCCAAAACATGAGTTTTTAGCTCCTTACCTGTACCTGGGCTTACTCTGTGTCTCCTCCCTTCTGCCCATTAATTTCTGGAGACACACAGGGTTGGTGTTAAGGCAGGATCCCCCTGCCCCTCCCTGGGGTGTCCCATCCCCTCTGAACACTCCCAGCACCCGCCAGAAGCGGCACCGGCTCTGTCGCAGTTATCAAAAACAAGCCCAGTTTAAATCCTTTAGCTGGAACCAGAGCTGGCTGGGACAGAGGGATCACTCCTACCTTTGCTGTCCTGCCAGGCTGCTCCGTGTGGCCCTGTGGGTGCTGCCAGCAGGTCCCCCCGCGGGTCCCTCCCTCGACGTGCAAAGCAAAAGTGCAACTGGTGGAGCTGCGGCTGCGCCCGCGCAGAGGAACGGGGTGGGAGGGCACCGCTTTTGGGGTGCTCCCCCTGCCCTGGGGCCTGGCTGGACCCTCCTCCTCTTTCCTTTTCCATTTTTGTGCTTTTATGTCTGTATTTGTAGACCTGATGGTGGTTTCGGGGTGTTTTGGGAACTGTTGCCCCAGTAGCTGCCCTTGCTGGGGTGGGAGGGGGGTCTGGGGGTGCTCGACCCCTGGTAAAGCAGAGCTGGCTCCCAGGGGCAGGTGCCCACTGGCAGAGCCCCTCTGTGAAGGGCACGGGGCTGAGGCTGAGGGAGTGAGATGCTTCATCCTTTAGTCTCCTTCCCCTCACTGTCCCCTTCTCTCTCATCTGGGTGTTGTTACCCCCGTGCTGCAGTTCCAGTGCTCGGGGGGGCTGATCAGGGTCAGGTTTGGGTTCCTCCAAAAGCAGCGGGTTCTCCACGGTCGTTACTTTCTTGTTCAGTGGATTTCACGGAGCAAACCAGAGTGAGAGCCGAGGACTTTTCCAAGTGTGCCCTGAAGTGGTGTCACCCATCCCCAGGTTCCCGAGCCATCGTGGTCCCCATCGGCAGAGGGCAGAGCTGGCTCTGGTTTGATTTTGAAAAGCGGCACTTCCCCGGTTATCCAGCTGGGGACTCCAGCTCAAGAAACATTAGAATTGCCACCTTTTAAGATCAAGAGTGATCACTGATTCTCTATTCAATTGGTTAATTTGAAAAAGTGACTTTTTTTTACCATTTCTGTAGCAATTCAACCTTGCAAAACCTTGCAACCTTGCAAATCAAATTGAAGATTTGCAACTTCGTAATTTGCATTTACTCATTTTTCTTACATGTCTGCTCAGGAAAACAGGACACACTTTGCAGCATGGTTTGTGGAGAGGGTTTCAGCTCTGCAAAGGGTCACACAGGTAGTGAGGTGCTGTGTCCCCACCCCAGCATCTCATACCTGCAGCAGGTACCAGGGTCTCTGTGCCACCTACCCCTTTCAAGCATCATTGATTTACTCAGATTACAATTCCTGTTTACAGCAGGGGTTTGTAGCTCTAGATACCCCTTTTTATTTTGGTTTATAAGAAGTGAATCTCTTGGGCACATTGTGGGCTGTTACAGCTTTGCAGGGCATGGGGTTTGTCACCCCTGTGGTGGCACCGCTCCTCACTGGGATCACACCTCCCAGAAATGCAGCCATGGGCCTGTTCCAGCAGCTGATACTCCTGCTGGTTAAAGCTTCCAGCCTTCTTTTGAGGCTGCTGATGACTTGATGTGCCTTAATTAGTGTAGTGTGGGAGCCAGAGCCTTCAGCACTGCGGGTTCTTCACCACAGAGTTGTCCCCTGGGTGCAGGACTGGGTTTCTCTCTGATGCTTTTGGATTGGCAGCTTTGAGGGTTTGGGGTTTAGTGCTGAAATGGGGTTTGTTGCTGTTGTGATCTCCTGGGATGGGCTCTGAGCCCTCAGTGGAGGATGCTGCCTCAGGTCACGTCAGTCCCGGGGTGTTTCCCTAATTTCAGCAGGATCTGGGATGTGAAGCATTCCCAGCACCTCCCAGCAGCTGCCTCTGCTGCTCTCACACTTTGCAAAGTGTTTTCACTGTAGGGATTTAAAGAAAAACCTTTTACCTCCTCCCCCTCACCCCAAAACTCTGTGATGTCACCCCTGGTGGTCCCCAGGCTCTGTCCCTGCCCTCCCAGCCTTTCCCTGTGTGTCCCTGGCACCCCCTGCCTCCCACAGGGACTGAGGGGGATGGTTTGGAAGTGACTTTAATAGACCATAAACCTGAGGCCAGTCCCAGGAACAGCAGAAGGACCCCCTCGTGGCTGAGCACACCTGGCCTTGGGGATGGACTCCTTTGCTGTTCCCACTCACACATGTGATGGATTCTCCACTTCACTTTCATTTCCCAGGAACCAACCTGTTTATGAGAAAGCAGAGCCTGAGCTCGGGCAGGGAGTGGATGTGCTGCACTGAGAGAGATTTTGTTTCAGAAACACCTTTCAGAGCACAACCATATCCTGTTTTGCTCTCTGTGTGCATCACCACCAGCATCCATCCCATTTCCCATCACTCCAGGAGCCTCCTTGGGGGGGGTGGGTGGGGACTGAGGGTGCCTTTACTGGCAGCCAAGTGCCAGTCTCTGAGCTGTGCTGTCCCCAGGGCACACAGTGGCACCACTGGCCAGACCCTCCCCAGTCCTTCTGTAGTTGAGGCCACCAGAAATCAGGACTTGGAGCTCTGCACCAAACCACAAAGCAATTATTTTACAGTGTAAGATAAATTTTTTCTCTTATTATTTATATTTTACCTTTACTCACATTTTTACCTTATAAGAATTGGAAATTTTCAGGTTAGCTAAGAATGTCCTTTATGACCTTGTGGGATTTCCTTAGGGAAAAGCAACCAAGGCCTTTCTGATCTGCAAAGAATCTTTAATAGCAATAATTCCTAGGAATGGGTCATGTGTCTGCTCTCCACGTGGCTGGTGACGTCCCAGGGGAAGGCACACACTGGCAGGAGCGTGTCTGGAAAGGGGGATGCAGCTGGGCTTGCACAGAGCCAGGGATGCAGACACAGCTCTGGCACTGGGCTGGGGCTAAAATCCCCTGCATTTTCCTGCCCTGTCTGCCTAAGGCAGGGAATCTTTCTTTACAAACCAAAAATCCCTGTTGAAGGAACAGGACTGAGCTGAGGCAGCGCCTGCTGGAAGGGACCTCCTGGCTGGGGCAGGGACGAGGCTTTGGCTGCTCCTCGGGGTGCTGAGCACCCTGACAGTGCTGAGCACCCTGACAGTGCTGAGCACCCTGACAGTGCTGAGCACCCTGACAGTGCTGAGCACCCTGACAGTGCTGAGCACCCTGACAGTGCTGAGCACCCTGACAGTGCTGAGCACCCTGACAGTGCTGAGCACCCTGACAGTGCTGAGCACCCTGACAGTGCTGAGCACCCTGACAGTGCTGAGCACCCTGACAGTGCTGAGCACCCTGACAGTGCTGAGCACCCTCACAGTGCTGAGCACCCTCACAGTGCTGAGCACCCTCACAGTGCTGAGCACCCTCACAGTGCTGAACGTGGCTGTGACATCCAGGCAGAATTCCCAAATCCCCTCCCTTGTGTCCCCAAGAGGACCCTGCAGCACAGGAGGGACCGACAGACACCCCTGGGGTGCTGTCCCACCACACCCCGTGACTTGGGCTGTGCAGGGTGGTGCTGGCTGAGCCCATGGACCGCAAAATTGGATTGGGGTCTGATGAAATCATGGCTGTCTGGAAAACTGCTCCCTGGCTTGGAAAGCCGCTCCCTGGCTCGGCTGGGCTTGAAGCAGCAGAATTTGCTCTCTGTGTATTTGGGTTGTGCTCAGCACTGAAGCCCGTGTTGGTGTTTGTTCCTTTGCCAGGCACAGCACTTCCCCCTCTCCAGCACAAGGTGGGTGGGTGGAGAAGCTGCTCCTTGCCAGCAGTGGTGCCAAAAATCAGGAGAGTCTGAGGCTCACTGCTGGCTCAGTGGTGTGAGCTCTGCTGGGGCTGAGTGGTTTTCCAGAGGCAAAGTCACTTTGGGGCTGGGCTGGAAGCGTGTGGTTATGGAGGGAGGATAAAGGTAATTTTAGCAGAGAGAAAAGCAACTTCCCTCCTTCCCTGTGGGGCCCTAGGAAGAGTCATGCACAGGGATGTCTTCTTGGATACTCCCAAGTACTGCATAACTGTAGGGATATGTAAGCGTAGGGTTAGATGGGATATTGGGATACTGGGGGAATTCCTTCCTGGGGGGGGTGGGGAGGCCCTGGCACAGGTTGCCCAGAGAAGTGTGGCTGTCCTATCCCTGGAAGTGTCCAAGGCCAGGTTGGATGGGGCTGGGAGCAACCTGGGCTAGTGGAAGGCTAGTGGAAGTGCCATGGCAGGGGGTGGCACTGGCTGGGCTTTAAAGTCCCTTCCAACCCAAACTGTTCCATGGTGGTTCTATGACTAATAAAACAGGAGGCTGACAGGTGTCTTCTGGCTCCAGAAGGGCAGAAAGCACCAGTTTGTACTGAAAAAGAATGTTTCTTTTTGGTTTGCATAAACCCCAGCAAAATCCTTGCTCCCCAGTGCATCTGTCCCAGCAAGAGATTTTCCTGCTGTATTTCCCACAGCCCGGGAAGGGTTTGCTGTCGAGTTCCCATGTGACAGATTAGTGAGAGTTCTTGGTTTGCTTTCTCTTTCCTGTTTTCTGTTTGGGAGGGGGAAGCTGCACTGCAGAAATGTCAGCAAAGCAATGTGAAAACAGGCTGGCAAAGTCCCAGTGGGAACTGGAGCTACTGGGAAACCCGGAGCTGGTGCTGCCAGGAAGGTTGGAGCCGCTATACGGGATTTGTGGGTCAGCAGGACTTATAAATACCTGTCCGTGGTCACTGAGGGCTACCTGGATGTCCAGCCCAACTACTCAGGGTTGTACCATTCCCAAAACACGCCCCCAGGAAAACCCACACTCCTGGTGAAGGTGCTGGTGGTGTGACTGGTCCCGTCTGTGCCCGGAGCCAGTCCCGGCATCGGTGAGGTTTTCCCGGCTTTCCTGTTTTGCCTCCATGCGCTGCTGGGTTGGGCCATCTGAAACAGCATTTTTCCACCCCTGAAAACTTTTTTATTTTTTTTTTTTGCCCCGAGGCAAACAAGGAAAACATGCCCTTTTGTTATTTATATTTTTTGTGAGAGGAGGAGGAGATTCAGGACAGAATGAGCCGCAGGGCAGCGTGTTTGCTGCCTGTCCCGGGATTTGCTGCCAGTCCCTGGCACGCTGTAGGTACCAAAGCAGATTCCTCCAGGTTGTCTGGATCTCCCCATCTGGTCCCCCCCTCCAGCCTCAGCACTGTGAGGATAAACCCCCGCCCTCTCTGTTCTTCCCAGAAACGCTGCGTGGCTTGGAAATGTGCATCCAATCACGGGAAAAGCTGTTTTCTATCAAACCCTGTCTGCCTACGTTTACTTCTATAATTTCCTAAGGGTTTTTTGGCATTGCCTTGGCCCAGGAGGAGGAAACCTCACAGCCCCTGCACTGGCCACTCTGTGAGGGGCCGTGGTGACAATGGCACCTCTCTGAGCCCCAAACTGGGGTATCCATCCCCAAATTGTATAATTATTCTTATTATGCACCATGTCTGCTCTCAGGGCATTTACAAGCATTTAAAATAATATTCCTGAAGCTAAAATACATGTTGGGATCATTTTATTTCCTTGGAATTTGAAGCTTTCAGGATGTACTTGGGTCAGTTTTGTAAACTTTTCTCGGGACCCAGCGAGGGTTGGGACATTTGCTGGTATTCAAAGCAAAACTGAACGTTTGGATAACATCTGAATCTGCAACCACAGGCATCAGCAAGGTGACAAATAACACAACGATCCTCATAACAACACAAGAAACAGCAACACCAACATGAGTCCTCACTTTTGCAGCTCACACCAGGTTTCTGTGAGTAAACGTGCCCAGGGAGATGTCCTTCATCTTCCTCTTTGCTTGTGGCATATCCATCACTATTTGTCTTCAAACATTCATCCCCCCCTATCAGCTGAGCACCCTGCAGCTCCCAGGAGCCAGGTGTGGATCCTCTTTGTCTTCAAACATTCATCCCCCCCTATCAGCTGAGCACCCTGCAGCTCCCAGGAGCCAGGTGTGGATCCTCTTGCTGAGCTCTGGGTGCCTTTCCCAGTAGTGTGAGCTGAGCCCAGTTTGTTTGCACACTCCCTTTAACACTGGTGGGCTGTAGGTTAATGATCTTTGCTTGGTGTATGTCCGTAGAGTTATAGTCTTGCAGTCCAGATGAGCCTGGATCAGGTCTGGGTGGTGGATTTTTGTAGTGGAAAGAGGTTCAGTTTATGTGGAGATACTGAACTGTCCTGACCCAGAGCCTCCTGTGAGTGTGGTGCATGCTCTAAGTTACTATGGGCTGTAGGTGCCCATGTTCAGAGCTGGAACTCCTGGAGCTAGCTCACAACTCAGAATTCAGAAGGATTTTCAAATGTGGCAAATATGTAGAAGCACTGAAACACCAAAATGAGAGGGGTCTGAACCTGCTGTGGTTCAGCACAAGGAGCTCTGGCACTGCTGACAGCTTTTGGAGGGATTTTGACAGTATTCCAATGGAAAGTGGTGTCAGGCGACAGCCCCCAGCAGCAACAACACAACCAGCAAGTCTTTTGGCATCACAACATCCTGGTGGGTCAGATCCTGCCATCTGTGGCAGACAAGGGGAATTCAAGATGTGTTTGGAGACCTAATGCAGTCCTCGAGCGACGAGAAGCCCCTGCCCGGGCAGAGCTGCCGATGCTCAGGAGATGGACTCCAGCAGCAGCTCATCAGGCGGCACAGGGGGCATTTCCACGCTGTTTATTCGGCCAAAGAACTTGGGGAGAGACCAAAACCTGAAGCGTGGGAAGTTCCTGTTCCTGGTGCGGATGTCGGTGTCGGCGGTGGAGAGGCTGCTCCGGCGCTGGGCGAGCCGGGCCCGCAGGGCGACGCAGCCGTGGCGCAGCAGCTGGTCCTGGAACTCGGAGGTCATGAAGTAGTAGAGGACGGGGTCCAGGCAGCAGTTGAGGCTGGCCAGGCACAGGGAGATGGGGTGGAAGCGCAGCGTGCTCCGGTGCACGGCGCAGTCCCGGATGAGGTTCTCGATGACCATCATGAAGAAGGGGAAGTTGATGTGGTAGGGGGTGAAGCAGATGAAGAACACGGCCGAGCACATCAGCACCATCCTCAGGGCCTTCTGCTTCTCGCCCGCGTTCTGCAGCTGCGCGGGGCCTTCCCGCAGCGACTGCCACATCTTCCACGTGCAGCCCGCGATGATCCCGAAGGGAATGACGAACCCGAACAGCTCCGCCACCGTCACCAGCGCGATGGAGGCGCCGGGGCTGAGCTGCTTCACCCCCAGGTCCGAGAAGCAGGTGTTGATGTTGCTGGACAGGGCCGGGCTCCTCACGATGATGAGGGGCAGGCACGCGGCCCCCACGAACAGCCAGACCAGGGCGCTGGTGGCCACGTCGTAGCGCCGCTTCCAGCCCTTGGCCCTGAAGGGGTGCAGCAGGAACAGGTAGCGCTGGATGCTGATGCAGGTGAGGAAGCAGATGCTGGCGTACATGTTGAGGTACTTCAGGTAGAAGCACACCTGGCAGAGGAAGCTCCCGAAGGGCCAGGTGTGGTTGATGTAATAATACGTCCGTAGGGGCAGCGAGAGCACGTGGGCCAGGTCGGCCACGGCCAGGTTGATCATGAAGATGATGGCTTTGCTCTTCCTGCTGATGAAGCGGCACAGGACCCACAGGGCAGCGCTGTTGGCCAGGAGCCCGGGGATGAAGATGAGGGTGTAGGTGGTGGCGTACAGGGTGGACTGGAAGGACATCTGGGGGTCGGTGCAGTTCCCGGAGGACGCGTTGCTCTCCATCTCGGCTGAGTCTCTTTGCTCATGGGGTGGTTAAGGTAGGTGAAGGGTTTCTGTGGGGAGTAAAAAGGTGCTGTAAAGCCAAAACCTCTCTGTGGGGCAGCTGCACTTTAGTACTGAAGAATAAGTTTTGTGTAAGTGCATGGGCAAGTCAGTGTGTGTGTGTGTGTGTTTTGGGAAGGGTGTGGAGCCAGACCCCTCTCACAGGGACCGATCCTGAGCATCTTCCACTATCTCCTTTGGATGTGCTCCTCAGGATCTCGTGAGATGCCCCAGTTACAGTGACAAGCCCACAGGGCTCTGCAGCATCAATCTCTTCATTGCGGATGCCAGAGAGTTGCTTTAGCTCCCCAGGGTTGTTAAGGACCAACTTTATTTCATTAAGTTTTCCATCCAGCTCCTGTCAAATTCATGCTCTCCGATATGTCTACAGGCAATTTTAGTGGGACTGTAAATAAACAGGGATTTTAAATGGATCTAGACACTGTCTTTGCAGATCCTTGCAGAAATCTGATGTGAATCAGCAGCAAAGGGAATAATTAACACCTGCAAAGGCTGGTGCTGGCAGGCAGCTGGAGCAGAGGCCAGTGGGAGAGGTGCAGACAGATCTATCAGCTCTGGCTCCAGATTTAAGGCTGGATTTATAAACTAATAACTGGCCCAACACACGCCAGTTGCTCTGCTGGTCCTGCTAACTCAATTCCAGCACTCCCAGCACATTGTGCAAGCATCGTGCTGCAGCAACAGGAATTATCCCTCAGCAGCAGGAATTATCCTTCAGTAGCTGCTCAGGACATGCAGGAAGAGAAATACATCTCCCTTCTAGTTAAAGCAGAAATTCTTTTCATCCATTTGCCCAGCCCACCTCACCCAGCCGGTGCTGAGGGGGGATCAGTGGGTCATGGAGAGTTCACAGGTGTTCTCTGGAGAGGTGATGGATTTTGCCATTCCTGAGCAGAGCCCATGGGAAACAATCTGCTCTTTCAGGAAGAGGTGATCTGGCAGCAGCACATCACAAATCAAGGAGTTGGAGCATCATCTGTAACAAACAGATTTTCCCCTGGGAAACAGCCTGTGGGCAGCCTGTGCTGCCTGGAGCTGGGTCTGGCAGAGCCCTCAGCTCCTCCTGTCGCTGTCACCGACCCCTCAGCACTGGTAATTAATTAAGAAGCAGTCATGGTGCTGTTTCCCACAGCCCTGAGCCTTGTGTTCACCCCAGGATGGATTTCCAAGAGCGAATCGCCCACAGTGGTGACCGGAGCTGCTTTGAGGCACAGAGTGAAGGCTCTTCCTCCCTGCTCCTCCTCAGCTGGGCAGCTCTTCAGTGGGGTTACCATGACTTCAGTTTCAGGAGGAAAGATATATTTTATATATTTATATACAGATAAATACATCAAATATAGCCCCAGCCTCTCAGCTGGCTGCTCAGTGCCCTGCTCTGCTGCAAGGAGGGTTGATGCTCACACCCTGCTTTCCAAATTGAGCCCTTCCCAAACTGCCTTCTTCCTTTTAGTTATTTTTTTCAGGGTTTGGCTGCAAAAAATAGCAAGGTTGAAGTGGAACCAAGGCTGCTGGGTGAGGGCACTTTTTGGCTGCTGACTGTGTCAGAGGTTTCTGATTGCTCCACTGAGTTGGGAAAGGCAGGAGAGGGGACATTTGTCATGAGGGGACAGTGGGAAACAAACCCTTTTCTTCCTTGCAGTATTCTTGTGTTTGTTCCTCACCTGCCTCAAAACCCAGAAGGGGCCTGTGCAGGGCAGTGCCCTTTGCACTGACTCGGTTTAACCCTGGCAAAGTGGTGGCAGAACACCTTGTCTTCACATCCCTGAAGAAAATAGGGAGGGAAAACTGCCAGGAAGCAGCTTTTGTCACAGTTGTCCAGTGACAGGGGTGGCACTTGGTGTGGGCACACAGAAAGGATTACAGAGCACCAGCATCCCTGTCCTGCCATCTCCTCCCTGCTGTGTGTCTCAGCCCAAATCCTAAACCTCGTCCATGAGGAGCCTCCTTGCTGTTTTTCTCCCTGTTTTGGCTTTCCCTGGGAGCACAGGAGTGTCTGTGTGTCAGGAGGGCTGGGTTGTCACAGTGTTGGGTGGCAGTGCTTGTGAGGGCACCGGCAGGAAAGCAGGAGAGATCTCCACCCTGCTCTGGGGTCAGGCCAGGCTTGTTCATTACAACAATTCCTGGGAGGGTGGATTTTAAAACTTATTATTGTTTTCCAGTTTTCCCTTTGCCCAAAGCCCCTCCAGCTCCCCTTGCTTTGCTGTTGGTGTCAGGACAGAGATGCTCCTGTGGCCTTTGGCTGGAGTTTTGTTCAGCAACTTTATAAATCTTGGACAGGACCCTCCCTGCTTTTCCTTGATTATTTTCCCTATTTCATCCACATATGGCTTTATTCCTGGGCAGAAACCACTTTTTTAAGTGGCAAAGCTGAGTTTTACCCAGCTGCAATTCCAGAGGGGAGACCAGTATCACTGCCCAAGGAGTCAGACTCCTGGTTGTGGATGCAGCACCACAATTCATTAAACATCAAGTACCTTTGCAATTAATTAGGAGGCCAAGGCAGCTCTGGGTTCATTTTCAGAGTGTTTTGGAGCAGTATCTGTTCCTGGAGGCGTTATGTGGCTGTCACTGCTGGAAACTGCCCGGCTCCTCTGAATCACCCTGTGCCCCACCCAGCCCCACACCACGGTGGTATTACTGCATTTACTGCTCCCAATTCATTGGCAAACTCATCCTCATCTTTTCCATGGCCTGCTTGGCCAGTCCAGGCTAAAGCTGAACTCCAGGCATGGCTGGGGAGAGCCCCAGAGATAGAGGACAGGGGCAGAGCTGCCTCCCTGGGATGCTGGAGAGAAAAGCAGGCTTGGGGGAAAAACTAAATCCACTTTTGGCTTGAGAAAAAGCTCCTGGTTTAAGTGGTGGAGTTTTCTGGCACTGACGTTGTAAGCAATGATTTTGTTTGTTTAATCTCGGCACTAATAGGGAACATGTAAACAGAGCTGGGCAGTTACGGCAGCCTCTGTCAGTGAGGGCAAAACTGAGGGGTTTGGGATCAAACGGAGGGGTTTGGGATCAGGTTGAGAGGTTTGGGACCAAACAGGCTTTCCCCACATCCTGCCCCCCGCAGCAGCCTGCCCCATGCACCCACTGTGCTCACCCACCCCGGGAGCCGAGCGAGACTCTCGTGGCACGGGCACAGGACGTCGCCCGGCTCTGCCCGATACCATCTCCTGAGGAGCTAAAAAAAGCAATACCATCGCTGCAAACTGCACCAGCTTCATTCTACCGAGGAAAAGACAGAAATGCCACTCACCTTCCTGTGCCTGCCGTGCCCCAGGGGGGGCACAGCCATGCTAGAGAGCACGAGCAGCGAGTGCCCGGCTTTTATTGCCCACCAAGCTCCTCAGCCATCCCAGCGGCTCCTCGTTTAACTTCCACATGTTTTCGGAGGGCTGGAATCCTGCCGGCATCTGCAGCCCAGTCCGGTGGCTGCAGAACAGGAAATCCTGTATTTTGTTTCTCTTCTCCCACAAAACGTGTGCAGCTAATGACGTTAAAGCTGCTGGGAAGGCAATGACGTCGTTTGGTCCAAGTGCCGTGGGATGGAGACCATGGATTTCTGTCCCTCTTTCGGCACAGGAGTCGTGGGAGGTGATGGTGCTCTTCCCTCGAGCTGCTCCTGCTCCTCTCCACGGGCACTTGCCATTTGCCTGCTAAAAGCTGTAAAATACAGAAGCACCAACCTTCCAATAAGGGCTCGCTGAAGGAAAACTGAACTCTCTGCCAGTGTAAGTTACTGGAAGGGAGTAATTTTCCTTCATTTTCTTGGAAGCTTGGTTAGCCTCAGACTATCAAGGCTACAGGCTAAAGGGTTTGGACTTTATTCCTGAAATAATAGTATGGTTTAAGGTGGAGATTTTCCCAAAATACCATTGTATAAAAAAAACCTCATAATGTGCATCATTCCCAATTTTTTTCTTTTTGCCTCCTTTAATTCCTTGCCTTTCTATATGGGCATATATATAATTTTTAGTTCTTTTACTGCCTGCTGAGCATGACCACCTTTCTGCAATGCTGAGCACCGCAGGCATATACATACTGTGCTGTAACTTCTGAGGTGCCTCATTTCCAGTTGGACAGTTTTACCTGATATCCACGGTCACATCTCACAGGCCAGAGCTCTATGGATTATCTGGCTGTTGGCATCTTTCCTTTTCTAGTTCTAGGTAAAGTATAAATAGAACCATTGTTGCTCTATTTGTCAATTTTCTGTAACAGGTTCTATGACCCCTCAAATTTAACAGGAACAGAGCTGTGGAAGAGAAATGAAAGCAGGAACCTTTAGTTCCCAGTTCAGGGTCTGGGATCGAGGGTGCACCAGAATCCATCAGCTCTGCCACCCACTTAGCTGCCAGATTTCTCTCTGCAAGGAAATCATGGAATCCTGGAATGGTTTGGATTGGGACTTTAAGGACCATCTCAGTCCACCCCCTGCCATGGGCAGGGACACCTTCCACCAGCCCAGGTTGCTCCAAGCCCCGTCCAACCTGGCCTTGGGGCAGCCACAGCTTCTCTGGGCAACCTGAGCCCCACACTTGTCATCTCCACTGACAGCAAAGAGATTTGGAAGATGCAAGAGGTGTTTATCATTCCAGGTTTTCTTCCTGGGCATCTTTTGCAGCAGCTGATGCTGATCCCTGGAAGAAGGAGCAGAGCTGGTGTATTTGTGAAGCATTCCCAGATCCCAGCAGGGAGGCTGGCACTGCGCCCGGCCCTCCCCAGCAGTCAGAGGTTAATCCCAAAGCAAAGTGGCTGTTTTATCAGGATATCCTGCCTGGGACATCCTACTTCTGTGTCCCCAGCAGCTCATCCAGCCATCCCTGAGCCCTATTTTTAGCTGGTTGTTTACAGCTGGGGAAGGAGAGGTCGGGGGATGTCGGACCATAGCGAGGGGTTTGTAACCACGTCGAGTCCTTCCTCTGCTTCTTGGATTTTTGGAGAACTTTTGGAGAAGATCACAATGTTCCTGGCCATGAAATGCTGATAGATTGACATCAAGCCTCCTCCTTCAACACACACCACTCTCTGTTCTTTCAACCAAGAGCACGTTTTTGTGTAGCATTTGTATTTCTGGCTCATTACCGACGTCAACGTGCATTTTACACTTGGCAGTGTCCTCCTTTCAAAGGCAGAAGGCACAAAGGAATTTTTAAATAACTGGGAGACTTTCCCTAAGGCCTCCAGATGAAGGTTGTCTCTGCCTGTAGCCTGGTATCCTGTGGGCAGGAGGCCAAATGCAGACGATCAGCACCTCTCAAGTGCTCAGCACCGAGAATATCTGACAGGATGCACCTGAAGGATGTATGAAAAACAAGAGGAGGAGGAGGGTTTGTTCACACAAAGCAGCTCACCCTTGTGCACACTTGCTGAGTGGCACGTGGCCCGTGGGGCTGGTGAGTCCCCCTCAGCCTGCACAGTTCTCTCTACAGGGGCAGCATTTTGGGGAAGCTTGGATTTATTTGTGCAGCAAATAATTGTCAATCACTCCCTTACTTTTTGGGCTAAGCCCTTGTCTAATCCAAAAACCGGCATTTTTGGTTAAAATGCACCAGCCATTTCCAAAATCTTTTAAATGAAATGAAGCAGTTTCATATTTTTGGGTTGTTGAGCTGTTATCCTGCATTTACAGCATATTTTGGTTTTTCTCTGTGCAGAGAGGGAGTAATTTCATTTAAGGGAAGCAAATAAAGCTGGGGTACTCACGAGATCCTGCAGCTCAGAACCTGAGGCTGCAGAAAGGCATTAAATCCCACAGGGGTTCTTCCCCAAAACATTTGCTGTCGTGCACAGGACTGCTCTTTCAAGCAGGAGAGGAGATACCAGACCTCTGATACTGGTTAAAATGGGGTGGCATCACAGAAAACACATTTTCTTTTGCTAACAGGTGAATGGCTCATGTTCTAGAGGAAAAGAACAGGTCATGCTGTGGTTTTGGCCAGGGTTGTGCCATGGGGTCATGCACTGTGTCAGTGCAGGAGGCTTGGAGACCTCACCATGCTTCCACCTTGAGCAGTTCCCTTCAGGATCAATCTGGACACAAAGATCCCCCAGCACCCTGAGCCCTTCAGATCCACCCTTCACATTCCTGGCATTGTGCTGTTCCCAACCTTTTGATCTGGTTAAATTCTGCCTCTCTGTTGAAACACTTTTTTTGTCTGCCCAAGAAGGATGAAGATGCCTTTTCATAGCTGGTGAGTCTGGACAGTGGGACCAGCACAAGAGATAATCCAGGAGCAACATCATGAAATTGTATTTCCTCTTGTCAAAATAATAAACACGTTTTCTGGTCACAGAAAATGGGGTGAATTACAGGAACTGGAGCAGGGCATGTTGTGCCTTTGAATGCTTGAGAGCACTGGCAGATAAACCAGCACCTGCAGCTCAGGTCCTGTGTCAGATCAAGCCCCAAGCAGCCCTGAGGGCACCTGAAATACTGTTCTCCTCAACAGAACTCTGGATTTGTCTGTTCTTCTCTTGAGACACACACTGAGGCCTTGGAGAACCTGAACTAACCTTTGGATTTCACATCTGGGTTTGTGGAGGCCAAACTGATCATCTTTGCTTTCTTAGGTGCTTTCAGAAAACTCCAAGTTCTCCTTGACCTCTTTTTGCTTCGAGTTGTTGCTCTCTAGGCCAGTTCACCCTCATGACCATCCTGGCTGACTTTCTCTCATGGTTCAACCCCATCTGGCACCTGAACAGTGTCAGCTCTGCCCCAGCCCAAACCAGGGCACTCTCCCACATACCACAAGAGACCTTCAGAGCCAGTTGTCTGGTCACCTGCACGTCACAGTGACACGACTCGAGTGGCTGGAACTGGGGAGCTTCTAAATTCAATGTGAGTGTGGTAGATTTAAATAAATAAATAAACAAACACCAGTGAGAGTGAAAACCTCTCTGTGGACAAGCAAGAAATCTATAAAAGTTGATGTGCTCCATCATTTGACCTCCTTGACCCAAGGAGGAGCTGATGCCACAGAGTTTTCCAGATACCAGTGAAAGCTATGAAATGCAGCTGATGTTTGCAAAACTGTGTTTATTTTTTAAAGCATCAGTTCCTGGGAATAAAAACATAGAACAAGCTACAGAGTTCCCGTAATGATGCCTTTGACTTGTTTTCACCTGATCAAGGGAGGATCGTACGAGAAAGACATGACAGGAAACAGCTCCCAGTCATGTGCCAGCCGAGCAAGGTCTATAAAAACCCTCAAAACAACCATCAAAACTAAAGTCTCCTTCACTGACATCATACAGAGTGTAGCTTATGAGAAACTGCTGAATTGAGAACAATTTTATTCTGGTTAACTCTGTACCTGAGCATCAACCCCTTTGTGAAGGGACTACTTGCAGTGTGTAAACATTTCTGGGTGTCACCAGCATCCCAAACTGCAGTTACATCACAGAAAACATTTCCATCAACCCCAGTGCAGGATCCAGTTCATGCTACTGCAGCCCACAGTCATCTTCTCACACGTGGGAGGAGAACTGTGGGAGCTTATTGTGCTTAGTCAGTGTGCCACCACCTTTTAGAGCAACCCCAGTGAAACGGTTGTTTAAACCTGGCTACTGTTTGCTTTCCCCCATTTGTTTTGTAAAACAGAGAAGTGGGAAAACATAACATACAGAAAATATTTGGCTGAGTTAAAATGTAACTCAGTGGAATTGAGTGGTAAGATTTAAAATACACTTAGCAAGTGTTTCTGGTCATTCTGCTGGTTTTGTAGCAACATGTAAGATATTTTCTGTTGCAAGACTGTACATTGTACAAATTGTACAGATTCTCTTGAAAATATACAGGCTTTCAAAGGCAACAGATTGGTGCCTGTGTTCAGCCAAATCAACTCCCAGGTATCACAAGGATACCCTGGAAGTTCCACCATGGGTGGGCTTGGCTGAAGAGCTGTCACTAATTTAATGTAAGGGGTAAATTACATCCTCCCTTGTCACTGCTTTGCACAGCTACATAAAAATGTAAACATTAGGATCATGAGAGGAGCTGGCAGAAAAAACCCACAATAATTTATGCACTTAGCCTGTGCTCTGTTAGTGGAATCACCTTGGCAAGGACCTCTTTCTTTTTTAAAAAGCTGCATCGATTGAACCTGTTGAGCTGAGGTTTTATGGGGCAGATTCACCTCAGGCACCTCTGACCCAAGAAGCCCCACAAAGAAGAGAGTGAGGACCTGAGTGGTACCACCACCATCAATAAATCCACCTGCACGAATGGCAGGACCACCGTGGTCCTGTCCCTCGGGGTCCAAAGGTGAAGAACATGTCCTGATGCCCCCCTTGCCAACAGGGGCAGCTTGGAGGGGAAGAAAGTCACTCGGAGCAAGGGAAGG